GTTTTGAATGGTTCCTAACTTTTTTGGTCCATACTTATAATCTTGACTTTAAATTGGTGGCACCTATTTAAGAAATTCATTTATGTTCACTTCTATATCCCTTTCTAAGTTCCCAATACCCATATAAAAAGATAGATATCAAAAACAATTATTTTAAGTAAGTTATAGCTATTGATTCGATCATTTATATATTATATTACTTTACTTCATCAGGAATTTACTATTTACTGATTAAATGTATTAGATATTTATTAGATATATATATTTTTATTAGATGTCAAGGTCCAATTCAAAACTTCAGTGTTTTTATTATCGATTTTTTCATCCCCATAGCAAATTTAATCAAGAATTCTAAGTTCCACAAGTAGGTATTTCAATGTAATCAAAAGTTTTCGACTGACTGGAGTTTTCAAATGATAGAGAACCCTGAAAATGTGGATAACCAAAAGTTTATAACGGATCTGTGTAGAAAGGGACAAATACTTTTCCATTTAATAGAAAGTGGCATTTTTAAGAACTGGATATAAAATAACCTCTAGATAAGATCGTGTAGTTTAGAGTTAACAGTAACCCTGAATCCGTCACTGGTCTGGAACCCAAGCAACCCCAATTTGGGACCCTAGCAACTTTCCCCCCCAAATGTGGCCTAATTCCGAACCGATGTCACTGGCATTGGTGCAGATTCTTCTGTTTGCCCACCGATGCTCTCGCAAAAAGGTTGCCAATCAGCCGACTGGGGATTGGGTTTTACAGCCTCTTTTACATTTTCGGGCACTCAAAGATACAATGTTGTGTTTAGAGCCAAAGTCTGGGAACAGACTGTGCTAACAAGTTCGAAATATATGCGTAATGCGATGGCATTTTTCCCGTTTTCCTCAGCTCATCAACTGTGAATACATTTTGCCACTTTTCCTCTGTGTTGCAAACTTGAAGGGGAAAATAGATTAAATTACCGAATCGGTTCAATAAAGGACTGGGCCTTCCGAAACCCTCCGACGACCCTCAAAAGCGAAAAAGTTTTTCAATTAAGCGTTTGTTAATGAAAATATAGAGATGTGCCGAAAAGGAAGGGAAAAGAAAACAAAAGTAAGGGCTTAAAAACGAAAAAGTATTTAAAAATATAAATTGGTTACTGCTCTGTTGAGTTTTGCGGTGAAGTGCAACAGATTTTCGCTGGCCAGCGGCAAATTGATGAACGTGAACGCCAGGGCACCCGAAAAATAAATGCATAAAAATGTATCTGCAACCCGAAACGCACTCAGTCAGTCGAAATAAATGCAGGACCAAAAAAAAAAGAAATGGAAACAAGGATTCGAAATGGAAACCAACGGCTTCTGGCTGCGACAGCAACTCCTTCCTGGCTTTTGGCCAATTGTTTATGGCTTATTGTTTCTGCTCTCTGGATTTGGCCGGGCAACTTGGAATCCGAATCGCTTTTCCAAAGTTCCTGCCAGCAGTTCGCAGCTCAACAGCATTTTGAATATTTTATACAAAGTTTATTGGCAATCAAATGGGGTTAGTGGTCGCCTCGCCACGCCATTAATGAGCTTGGTCAACTTTTGCGGGAATTACCAAAAAACCAAAAGAGGCCAAATGCCACTGATAAATTTTGGTCAATAAATTTTAAATATATTTCTGTGCTTTTTAATGAAACAGAAAATAACAATTAATTTAAAATCGAGCTTAATTTAAGCCTGCTTTGCACTTTAACAGCATTTCATTAGCTTTAAGCTATTCAACACTTGACACTTTGGCTTCGCTTGTTTCAAAGCGCTTATTAAAAATGCTAATACATATGAAAACACCTGAGGTAAGAATAATAATACAGCATTTATTTCAATATTTAAATATTAATTATGTTTTTTCCAACTCAAAACAAATATTATTTTTCAAAATATCATATTATTCTTATGATATCTGTACTGTTATTGTTAATTATACTAAAGTTACAAGAGGTTTTTTTAAAAGAAATTATTATTATGAACCTTAACCTTTTTAAGGTACCTGCTTTCATATAAGCCTCGGTTCTTTCAAACAGAAAAAATAATAATTCCATAAATTTTATTTTTATTTTTTTGATAAATAGATGCTCAACCATAAAAAACTGTTTCTAAAAATACATGTGTCTCTTTAATAGGTAAATAAAGATTTTTTTAGTAAATATTTTTTTAAAGAATATATATTTCATCTATTTATATAACATTATACTTTCTTTACTTTATTTAGTTTCTTAGGCAGTAAAAGCAATTCAGTTTTCCTAAAGAAATTCGTATGGTTTTTTAAAAAATTCAAGTTGTTCTTTTAGTAGCTTTACTTTTTGAGCAACAAAATTGTAAGGTTTAGCAAACTTAGCAACAAACTTGCGCTCTAAAACCGAATCACCTAAGAACTGAATTATTATTTTGCCCCCAGCTGTTCATATAAAGTGTACCAGTACCATATGCAAAGTAGACGAGATGGCACTCCACGAATACAACCCAGGCGGCAAAAATTAATAAACGGGGAGGACTAAGAGTACGCGCACTGGGTGACACATAAAGATTCCCGGTTTTATCCATCTATTTAGCATTCTCCGATGCCATGCGTTTTCGCACATTAACCCAACAAAGGAGATGCTGAAAACGAGTGCCATAAACGGGGATGCAATGAAGGGGATTCGAGGGGGTTCTGAACATCCCCCCCCCCCCCCCCCCATTATCCTTTATACTAAACATCCTGACATATCCTTGTGGCAGGAGAGTTGACAACATGAGCATGACTGTTTTGTTGTTTATACGAGTGCGCAGCAGCTGTGATGCCTTGTTCATGACACAAGTCACTTGACGGAACCCCCATACCATCATTCCCCACTCACATATTTCGCTTCATCGTGCACTGAGAGATATTTTGGGGGGAGAACTTCCTTATCTCCAGCACGTAGGGGTTGCCCATTTTCCCTCAGTTGGTAATTAACTTACGGGATGCTACGTGGCAGGCGCGAAATTGTATTTCCCAGCTCGAGGACTCTTTCTCTCTAATGAGCAAAAGACTGCAACTACGTTCAGCTGTCACTTTTATATTAATTTTTGGCCCGCAGGCACTCGCACTTCGACATTGATATTAATATTCAATTAGCTGCCCGGATGCGCGGCCTTGGGCCAGTCCAATTAATTATAATTATGTTAAGTAGGCCAGAAGTTTTTCGAAATAAATTCGCCCTCACAAATAGGAAAAGTCTTCGGCCCACAGCAAATCAAGCAATTAATTTGATTTGTTTAACGTTCTCTGGGGGTCATTGTGGGCCAGGCTATTTACATGTTAATTGCCTTCAAATTGTCTATTTGTTGTCATTAGACTTTATAATTGTTTTACAATGGGAAATATAATATTATTTGCCACTGTTTAGGTGGATATTCGCTGCTTTCGAGGAGAAGCTCTTCAATTAATCAGCCTTTCCACCAGTTGTCAAGGCATTGTGTTACCACAAGCTCTCACGTCAAACTCAATTGCGGAGCTTATTCATAAAACCCACTGCTCACTACTCACTACCCACCTGAATTTTGTCAGAGGAAAATGCATCCCGCTTTTCTTTTGACTTTTGGCAAACGAGTTTTCTTTTCACTGACATGGGTTGCCGTCCATTGTTTCGGCTCCTACGCTTTTCCGCTTTTTCCGCTTTTCCGCCGGGGAAATCCTTGTTTCGAGCTCCACTTATTGAAACATTACAAATGTATGGCTCCCACTTGGTTTAGGTGGAGGGCCTTGAACCGATCCCGAACCCAAAAAGCGAAACCAAAGCCAAAAGATTGATGTGCGAGCAGTTAACATTTTCATCGGCTACCTGCGATTGTACTATATACACATATATGTCCAAACAGAAGGGAAACGGAATTGTAAAACCAGTTGAATCTGGGGTCTGTCCTCTGCCATTTTCATTTTCACTTTCCCCCGACAAATTTTGGAAGGTCGTAGGGAGCTGAAAAGTTTTGCCTGCGCTTAAATATGCTACATGTTCCGGACGCAGGTGGTCTTGTCCATGGGGAAACCATGTCGGATTGCCCGGGCAGTGGGTACTCATATATTTCAGCTGCATCAATCACTCTGCCCGTCTGAACTGATTTTTGGTTGGGTTTAAGTTAGAACTTTGGTCATATTTGGAAACAAATTTATAAAACAAGGGAGAAAAAGGATTCCCATTCTGAAAGTAATTGGAAATACCTAAGAATCCAATATGGTTTCTTTAAAAAGAAAAATTTTAAGGAAGAATATTTGAAAATTCAACAGCAAACTAATAGAGTTTTCACAATTCATAATTGGGATCCAATAACTCAAGCTATGGAATCTATTAGTGCTGTTCTGGGCTCTGGGTTCAGTATAAGTAAAAACCAATATGAAACAAAAAAAGTTGTTATCTGAATTAATTTTAGTTTTTCTCTAAGATTTGTCCATCATTTTGTAGTGAAAAAAATTGTAGTAGAAAATAATTGGGTAAGTTTACTCTACCAACTTCAAAACTCCCAATATACAGTCCTCTTCCCTGAATCTGCTACATTATTAAAATATATTTTTATTGTTTCTATCAATTGTTTTTGTTTCCGGATAAAGTACTTTAAAAAAAACTTTATTATCGAAATATCAAAAAAATTAATATGAACAAATTACTCATCCGCCATGTTGGTTATGTGGCTAATATAAACAGTTCCCAAATGTAACTAAAAATGTACATAATTATATCTGTACTGCGTAAATTACTATATCACCTTAATTTGTACAAAAACTTTACCAGTTATAAAGATTTTAAATTAATTTTAAAAAATAACTCATACGCCATGTTGAATATGGGCCCGATATGGATCTTTATTGAGTAAGTTATTATATACCCAATTTCATGTTCTAAGTTTTGATTGTTATGTATATGTATGTATAATACACTATTAAAAATGATGAATGAATAAAGATCTCTTCAGTTCTTATATAGTTATTTTATAGTTATTTTTCGTTAAGGATTATATAGAACTCACCTGAAGTCGGAGCTCGCGAAGCAGTCGCCCAGGAAGCGGCACTGCAGCGCGTTGCACTGGGCCGCCTTCACCTCGTTCTGCACCTCGTAGGTGATGTTGAACCCATAGACGTCCAGCAGACGATCCAGGGCCCTCAGATGGGTTCCATCCAAGGTGGCCATGGTGAACCTTATCTCCAGGTACTGGCTGTGGAACTGCACCCACGTGACCTGGGTGACATCGTCCTCCGTGAGCGTGAAAACCCGATGGGCGGGCACCTTGAAGTCATCCGAGTAGTACATATACTCCGTGAACTTCAGACCACTGAGCACGTAGAGCTGGGTGAGATAGATCACGATGGAGACGTTTCCCTGGCCCTGGGGCGGCATATCGGAGGCATCGATGATCCAGACGCATTCGATGGGCGTGCCGAATCGATGGGGGAAATTGGGTGTCTGGATGATGCCATGTCGCTGCTTCAACATGCCCCCACATCCTGGCGAGCTGGCGGGGGCGTGGCCACCGCCCCCCGAGGCATGCTGCCCGGCGAAGGCGTTAAACGCAAACTGATTCTGGCCGGGGGAGAAGGGGGGCGGCGACGGAAGCGGTACGGCGGGCAGCGGAAATACGGCATGGGCGTGGGCGGCATCTGTTTGGAGGGGCAGGACCGCCGCCGGCAGGAGCCATATCAGCCATATGGTCGTTGATAACCGGACGAGGGTCATTGACTTGGCTTTAAGGATCTCTGTGTTCTATCTCTTCTTCAGTTTTTTGGCCAGCAGCTAGCTTATCATTCGGCGAGGACGTGAATTGCTTTCCTGGCGGCTGCCACCGCCCAGTCACTCATTGACATTTGGCCCATTTTTTGCACCGACTGCAAGGAGAGTGGAGAAAAAAAGGGAAAGATAAAGTCGAATTTTTAGTTAAAACCATTTTGACAGCTGTCGTTTGCATTTGAATAACTGCCGTTGGCCTTTCACGGCGTTCACAGCATTCACTGTGCCGCCGACTGTATGCTGTCAGCGTGAAAAAAGCAATTTCGAAATCCACTAAAACGCGAAGGAGCTCGAGGAGCGCATCAATCATGGCCTTCATGGGTGTCGCCGAGCGTGGCTGGTCATAAAACAAAAAAATACAAAGAGCCCGGCCCGCTTTTCTTTTGAGCCCTCAAATTGTTTTCTCATATTTCGAGTGTTAGCTTTTTTTGTCCCCCCTTTTTGCAGCTCGTCTGTATGCATAGAAAAAAACTGGGTAAAATTCAAATGACAAGATTGTTACTTTACTGTTTTTTAAAAATCACTAGGTTTTGTAAATGTAATTCTAGGTGTCTAAAAGTATGCAGCCAAAAAGGATAGTCGTATTTAAGAATTTTCTCACTGTATTTACAAACTTAAAATATATTGTTGCATACTTTTAGACACCTAGAATGACTTTTAAAATATAATAACTATTTAAATAGTTAAATTGAAATTTTGTTTGGACAATGAACAACATAATATAGTTAATTTACTATTTGCTTAAGATATACTTTTTAACCCATTAAATCACTTTAAAATATAAGTGTAGGTGTCTAAAAGTATGCAGTAAAATAGGTTATATTTGTGTTTCTGAATGATTTCATTGTACTTAGAGCTTAAAATTTTTTATAGCATACTTTTGGACACCTAAAAATACATTTAAAATAAAACAATATTTAAATAGTTAAAGTACAATTTTTCTGGAAACTTACAACACTATATTGTTAAATTACCATTGCCTTGTAAATAGATGGTTTTTCTTTGTGTGTATATAGTTCCTTTGAGCTGACATCCCAAAATTAGTGAGCGCCCTAGCTCGGGTTAATAAATACATTTAGCAACTGGACTTGGCTCGACAAAAGCCATAGAGAAATGCAATCAAATCTAATCCAATTCAAATATACATGTGCCACAGCTATGCAAACACAGCCGGTGGTAATTAGGATGGCCTAATCGGATAAAGTAAAAACTTGGCAAACCAAATCAAAATACGGATTGCCACAGGCCCCCACAGGCAAGTTGTCAACAATTCTGGCCAAATGCCGCTGCCTGGGAATTGGATGCATAAATTATTCAGCATTCATAGAGTGCCTGCCTGAGTTGTGTGTGTGTGTGGATGAGTGTGTTTGGTGGGTGTGCGATGCTGTGTGTGCTTGTGGTTAATAAGATTATGCAATAGAACTTCCTGCCGGGACAGGAAATACCCAGTCAGATATATATTTTAGAATTTATGCCCGAGTTTCGTTGGCCCTGGCTTCCTTGGACCAAATGGGCTTGCACCGCTTGACTTTAAAGAGATTGGATGGGATGGGCATGGGATGGTTACGGTCTTGATCTTGGTCCTGGTTGGAAAACTTTGGCATCCGCCTTCGCATCCGCTGGTGGCAAAAATGTCGCGGGAAAATGTGTGTTAACAAGTTTAATCAAACGACAATGTCGGCAGATACGTGCATACTTTTAGGCATATGGGCACGTAGAGTCGGGAGTCGGGGCAAAAAGCGCACGACTTGGGCCCCAAGTCGAGAGTGAAAATGAGTTCTACTTTCAAATTGCTTTAGTTACGCATTTAAGGGCATAATGAATAAAAACTTCGTCTATCTTGAACGCCCGAAGAATTCTAATTTGTGACGCCAGGTCTTGCCATTTGTCAACACATTTGATTTACATAATGGTGGAAGGGTCTACCTTTCTACTTTAGATTGGCGGTACTAATAACATTTTTGATCTGCGAATGCCTTTTTTATTTGCATTGCTGAATAATATATTATATGGTTTTCTTAAGTAAATATAGTACCAATCCAAAAAAGAATATTAATAAAAAACCTGTTTAAAAAACTGATGAAAATTCGAGTAAGAAAAAAATAAGAAGTAAGTAAAATAAATATATGGAAAATTTGTTTTATATGAGTAAACTTAAATATAAATTAACCAAATTTTAAAAATTAAGAAAAAATATAAAAATTAAAATGTAGTTTTTAAAATTAGGTAAATGTGCAATGGTTCTTCACTATATTTCTAATTCAAGATAAAAGATTTTTTTTTTAATATTTTATAAATTAAAGGCAAATACTTTTTTTAGTATAACAGTTGACTAAGTGAATTTCCAATGTCTACACTAAGGAAACTGGGAATACCTAAATTTTAGGTGTTATATGTTAACTGTTTTGGGTAATAACTCCTTCACTTTAAGTAGGTTTTCCGGGTATACCGAATATAAATCAAGTTTACTTGAGGCAGTTAAACAGATTTTCGCGCTAAAAATAAATACCCATATTTGACTTTCGCCATGTGGCAGATGCGAAATGAGAGTTTGGGCCAGATAAGCTCTTTCCTATTTGCCTGTGCCCATTACTCTTCAAACTTAAACCCCCCTTAGGGCGACACCCATGGGCTTTTTGGGGCCAAAAGACCGTCTCGCGTTAACAGTGACGCCTGGCATGCCCAACACTTCTCCATAGATAAGGCCTCTAGGCGGGCACTTCAACTGATACCGATAAACATAAAGCCAGTCGCAGTCGCGGTCGAAGTTGGCGTCGCCGTAGCCGCGCCGAGCAAATTGCCAATTTAAATTGGCCGCGTTAAATTAGTCGAGTTATCAGCCTCCACGGCGGCAGGTGTGCGGAAGGTTTTCGGATCGGATCGGTAGTGCTCTCTATATGTGGAGTACCCCAGTACTCGTACTCGTACCCCCCTGATTCAGCCTATGAATGGCCCTCGTGGAGCGGAAGTGGTTACGTGCGAAGGTGTAAAATGACCCGTTCGGCTTGGGATTTGCAGTTTTTTAGGAAGTGAAAAGCCACGAATGTATTTCCCTCGATTATAATACGGTCATTTTCGGTCTTGACATGCCCGCTATGCGTGTCCCGCACTCAAGTGGTTTGTTGAAAAGTGAAAAGCTACTTATAAGGCCATGGGTTCTTTTGGTGAATAAAAGTGTTCTGCTTGAAATTCAACTCTATATTTCACTCTCCTTTCTGTTTGACAAATGATAAGTGAACAAATATATCAATCATCTTGGAGTTCTTGATATTGATATCTAATCAAAAGATATGGCTGACATATTCTTCGACAACCTGGTGAAAACATTCAAGTGAAAGAAATAACCTGTGCGTCAGAACTAAAAAAAAAGATTTAAATTTAGATCAATTTCGAAGTTTTTGTTATGTACAATATAACCAATCACCTTGTAAAAGTGTAAAAACATGCGTGAACTTTACCTTTTGCCATAAAAAAAATCTTATCGCAGCACGACAACAGTTTCCTTGAACGAAAATGTTATTGTGAACGTGATTATGCTATAAACGAAATCAAAACCTAAAAACAATTTAAAAAGCTGGAGCAATAACTTCATTATGAAATGCAATGAAAAAGCGAGCTGTGCGGAACAACAAATAAAGAAGCAGAAAAGTGTGCTGATAACTGCAAGCGAAATGTCAATAAATTAATATAAATGAGTGACTCGTGACTGGCGGCTCCGAATCACACCGGCCTTTCTCTTGTCGATATTGTTGATGTAGCTGTTGTGTTTGCCATTACTTACTCGCTTTTTAAAATTTTTTATTTCCCAAAAACCATGGCGGGGAAAGCCAGATACAAATGGCCATCAAAACAAGCATTTCTTTATTTGTGCAATGTGAAATGCACATTGGCGTTATCGGAAAAAACAATGGTATAAGGAAATACAATACAATACGTGGTTGATAAAACCCAGCTATATCTATGAGTATCTGATTTTTGAGTCCGGTAAATACTCCAAGTTCGGGGTCTTAACTCACACCCCGTTCAAGGCATTTGCCTCAGAGCTTTTGGCCAAACAATGAAATCCCACCGCATAAATAGAAAACAATTAGGCATTTGAAACGATAAGAGCCAAAATGGATGATAAAAGCCAGCAAGCATACTGACTCATCGCGAACAGAAACAAAAACCCGAGAAATTGGTAGCACAATTAAAGCCCAGAAATCAGAAGAGCAGCCAGTTGACGATGCGCATAATTTTTGAACTTTGAAACTTTTGTTCCACAAACAAATTTATCAGATGCAAAGCAAATGCTTCACCCGTTTTTCTGGGACAGTTGATAAACCGATGTGGTCAACCCCTTGGATTTAGTGGTGCCCTTGGAATCCTTTGCTTTTGATGGCCAACTGAAAGCTGATGGCGATGATGGCCTGCACAATATCTGGCTCGTTGCCTTTGAGTGCGTACTTCTAGTTTCTCCAGATTTCGGTTATAGCATACCAGATACCGACTTTAGTGGTTTCCTGAGCACACTGAAAACTAAATCGGTTTTTCAATAAATTCATGGGATTTCTTTGTCTTGGAGTCGTTTGGATATCATTAAAAATAAAGGGAACATTTATATTTCACATTTTAAAATTGAAGCAAGGGTCCGGTCTTTTTAAAACCATTTTTTGATAGTTACTTAAAGACATCTAAATAAAGGGAACATTTAAATTTAAAACTGGAAAATTAAAATAATGGTCCTAACTTTATAAAACCACATTTTGATAGTTACTTTTTGACATCTACATATAACTCAGTAACTAAGCGTTATGTATAGACTTCTATATTTTTTATTTAATTACAAAAATAGGAGCAATATTATTATCTAAAATATATAGAAGGCTAAAAAAATAATCTTTAAGTATTGCAAATAACCTGCATTTTTGGTGTACAAATATAACTAATCAACATGAAACCCAGTTTCCGGAATCCCTCAAAAGTGTCAAAACCATAATCTTGATGTGCCAAGCCACACGTATTATGATTATTATTAAATAAAAGTGATCAGAACTCTTTGAAAAGCTTAGATACAGCGACTTTAAATAAATACATAGAAGTCCAAGCTTATCAATTAATGTACCAAGTAAATCGAATTGTAGCCCCATCACAATCGAAGCATACATAATCCGCGACAATTGCAACCGAACACAACCAATTTATAGCCGCAATTAAATCCTTGACCATAAATCAGGGAATATGGCCGGGGTAATCAAAGTGTTTAACCCACAAGCAGCAACCGCAGCAACCGATTTGAGATAAAAGAGCCAGCGAATAGCCACGGCTAATAAAAGAGTAGCCAGATACAGATACAGATACATTAGCCCGATCCGAACCAACGACAATATGGCCTGCTTTCCCCGACTTTTCCATCATCGCAGCAAAAACAAATTCACCCCCGCCCAAGATGAGAACACCGATACGATACTCAACACACAAGATAGTCCCGTGGTGAGTTCCGCGTGCCACAGATCACGCTTTAGTATTGCACTTGTCTGATAACTCGACTGATAAGTTCATCAAGTGCTTAATTGAGTTAATCGGGGCGACGAGAGAAAACCATAAATAATGTGTAGCGAAACGGCAAATAAAATGGGGTGGTGTAGGATCAAAGATACCCAATACACTAAATATAGTAAAATACTAAGATATCATATACCTTTGATCTCTAAACGGAACAGTAAATAGAATGGGGTGATTCAGACTCAAAGATACTCAATATACTAGATTTAATAAAAAATACTAAAATATCAAATACGTTTGATTTCCAAACTTAAGACACTTATATGTTATTAAATCCAGCAAATATATCTTACAGTTCTTATTAAAACTGAAAAAATAAGTATTTTACTTCCCAGAGAAAATTCTGACGTTCTCATTTCAGATGAAAAATATAAAGACATTTTTGAAGTAGAAAATATTTTCATTTTTCTCGAATCAAGTTGAATTGGCGGTACTTACATTGTATATCTCAATAAATAATCTATTAGTCCAGTCAGTAGTGTATACTTATCAAAAAGTTTTTAAAAAACTCAATTTGACTTTTCTCTTCTCACCATTTCGTTCTAATATCAAGAACTTTTATACAAAAATGTACTAACACAGTTTTTAAGAACGAATGTTCTCAATTCAAGAACAATGTACTTGAATATTTCTTTCTGTGTTCCAATACTAATTTCCTATTTTTTTCTAATAGCTCTTCGTTTATTTTTAAGAGCGGAAATGACTTTGCACTAGCCAAAAATAGGGTATGGAATCACGTTAAAAAGTGTTTGGAGCGAAACCTAGTTTTTCTTATCACTAATTTTTTGTTCATGACGCTTACTTTTTAACAGGCTTATCTTAGAACCAAAAAAAAGTAGGGAAAAACACGAGTGCCGATGGCTGATTTCCCATTAACTTTTGTTTGGGAAAATACTTTTATATATGAGCACTGTTTGTTAAGCAAATAAAATATATTTGGAAGGTTTGCCAAAACAATAAACCAGTACTTCGAAAGTATATGCACAAACAAAGATTCCAATTTAATAAAAGAAAAAGCTCAAATACATTTGTATATTTTCTGGGGATGCTTTGACAAATTGTCACAAGGACCGACTTCAGAGAATACTTCAATCTGCACGGCACTTGACTATCTGCAATCCTGGCGTTTCATCAATAACAAACATTCTACGACGAGTTGGCATTAGGTATGCAAAAATATGATAAGCATGCATATAAATAGGTGTGGGAGGATACGAGAATCGTAAGAAAAATCATGCTACAGTGGGTGGGGAACTTCAGCTCATGCATAAATCTAAAAACAAAATATGTGAGTGGAGCAGCTTGCAGTCGTGGCTACAAATGACGTATAAATATGCAGGATCCGTCGGATGTCTGGGCTATCTATAGAAACATCTGTAGCTGTCTTTTTTCTGGGAAGTTCTAGGAGTAGGACTAGGAATGAGATGGATCCAGGCGGCAGAACTGAAATGAACGTGATTGCACGCACAACTTACATGTCGCCGTAATTCTAAATAACTGCGGGAGTTTGGGGGCCAAGGCCTTTAGAAAGGCAAAGGGCCCCGGGGAGGAATACGTGAAATGACGTAGACTGAGAATCAGAGGGATTTGGGTTCGGGAAACCCCCAAAAAACCTCTCCTTCAACTGCAGGTCTGCGTTATCGGTGACTTTATCGGCCAAAAACAGAATTTGGCGCTTCCGTGGGAAAAACGGAAAACCTGTCAAAATGCCGTCGTTTAGCTCGATTAGCATATCAAAGCATATCCATCCAGGCGACTCGCAAATTGACACGTGTTTATTTGTGCCTCCACTAGACCCCCAAAACAGGCTTGAATATTTCATTAGAACCCTTGCCAATTGAAAGATTAGATACTTTTCACCTCATTGAACTTAAAATATATATATAACAAGTTGAAACTTCATAAAAAGTATCTTCAACACAAGTTTTTAGTCAATTTATATTTAAAATACTAAAAGCTTTAATAAATGTAAACTAAATTATGACTTATGACAAGCACAAGTCATAACTGCCTCAGCTATTTTTAAAACATTGTTGCACAATGAATAAAAAACATAACTTAAAAATACTGTACGACACATGACAGCCATCCGTGTCAAAACTTTTTCGCTTTTGAAGAGGTTACAAGTCATGAAGTCGAGATGGAATAATACGTTTGTAAATCAACAATGCTTATGGTAATTTGTGAGATTTGTTTAAAGCTTTCCGTTCATCACCAATTTAAGCCAATCAATCCGGAATTTGTACGGGGAATCCGTAAATGACGTGCTGAATGGTCGAAAAAGGGACACAATTGGGCAACTTAAATGGGTAGGGTATTATGTATGGTAAAGCCCTGTATTTAAAAAAGAAAATGACAATGGAAAATGGTTGCTATCGGCCTATTGAAGGCTTAAGCAGAGAATGTGTTTAAAAAATTTGTAGGAAGAGATGCTCAACATCAAATTGCTTTTACAGAAATAGATAAAAGTTAAACAAAAATTAAATATTTTATTTCAAGGCTATACAAAAAGAGTTATTAGGCAATCGTTTAAAATGAAAATGTTTTATGAAAGAAATATGTACTTACTAACAAAGATGTTTTTATTAAATCAAAATGTTCTTTCTTTAAGTATTACCAAAAAATGAAATATAAATAATAATAATAGTGTAATTAAGTATACACCAAGGTAATTTGTAGAATCGGAAGCAAACAAACAGATATTTAAAATATAAAATACCATCTTAACTATTATTATTATCTTAACTGAGAGCCGAAATAATGTAAACTTTTTGATTAATTTTGATGTTATCTTTAAATTGTATTTATCTTGTTCCTCTATGAGTGTGAGTTGATTTTAAAAGTACCTTTGTGTCAGCGGAATAAAGCAATAAATCATGCAAAGTAAATATTAGTCATAAGTGGGCTAATAAAAAAGGCTTCTGTTGATGATTTTGCGGCTTACATTGTTTGTACTTATAGTGCGATTTTTTTTGAGTCAATATTTAATTAAGCCAATTAAGGGCATGTATAAACAGATGGCAGAGGGAAGTGTTTATTGGTCGCGCTTACAATCTTGTAAAGAAAATGTTTTTAATATGAGTAATTTGTATTTCAGCAAATTGGTCTGTACATTCGTCGCGAGGAGAAGCCACTGTACTCGCCCATAGTCACTCCAAGTGCCAGTGAGGTGAGTTTCCCAGAAACCATATATCATAACCCAGAAACCAGAACTCAAAACCCCCAAACCAGAAATCTCCTAACTGCACTATGTACCCACCTTTCCTATACCTGTATCTATATACTCCCCACCTGTTCCACCTGTCTTTTTGTGGAACTCGACTAATATTTGCACACCTGCTTGTATGTTTCTTATACTTTCAAACGATTCGGGGTACACAATGCTATAATATCGTCACCAAACACTTGTAAATATATACACACCCGTCAACGCCTCTGCTGTCCACGGAACTCCGAAAACTTTTGCACCGCTGCACTATGGGGAATTTGCTCACTTTTTGTGGCATTAATTAATATCTTAAGAACAAAGCAACATTGAAAAGTTTTGTTTTTAGAATTAAGTATATACAATTTAAAGGAAGTAAATTAAAAAAAGATGGGCGTGGTCCCGCCTTTTTTTTAAGAAAAAAAAATTTTTTTTTCTTGTCAATAAAATAAAAAAAATTTTTTTTCTTGAATTTTTTTTTAAGAGACCAAATTGATTTAAAAAAAAAATTTTGCCTTTTTTTATTTCCCATTTTTTTAGTGAAATTGTAATTTTTTGTATTGTGATCACTATAATTCTTAACAAAAATACTAAAATCCTATATATCAACGTTAAGTAAGTGAAATGATGTTGTAAAATAATTTTAAAATAATCGTTATTTAATAAGAAATATAACTGCACACTGTTTTTCTTAAGATAACATCGAAACTGGCATTTACCAGACAAAAATGAGGAAAATATACCATATTAGGTAGAGGTCTTTAAAGCTAAATTTTAGAGAAAGTGCGCAAAAGTGCACTTTTATACTAACCGAGCTCAATGAGAATTAAATTCTCTACAAGATAAAAAAGGTTTCAAAGGTGGAAACAGCTGGAATCACTTTGTAGCTCTATTTAAAAATACAAATTAACTTAAAGATTTTGATTTTTTTGAGGTTAGAACTAGAACACGAATATACGAGCACCACAATCAATAAATACAATATTAAGGTCACAAGCACAAGTTACAAGTCCCTCTGATTGGATGGTATTTCAAAAACCTCAGAGCTATGTTTAATTTTACACTTTTTGACAATTTAAACTATTAAGAATAATAGGCGCTTTACCAGCGCTGCCACCTCGTTGAAATAAAAACAGGCTTTAACAGCTGATAACTTAACAGTGGTGCGTACTGTTAAACTTTTCTGTTAGTAACATTAGATATTGATGTTATCGTGATGCATTCTGATAAACAAAACCTATTTTTAACGACTTTTAAAAAATGGGTTTTGGCCAAAAAAAGTGGTCAAATTCCCCATAGTGCGCTGTGTTTGTCTTGGTGGATGTCCTTGCTCCTTGGTCCTTGGTCCCCGGGTCCTTTTAGGCCAAACTTCAAAGGCTGAGACAGCAGTCGCCCGGCTCTCCCCCCTCCCACCTGCAGTCGGTGGCCGAAAATGGAGGGGCAAACAATGGCAACCTGGAGCGCAAGTTCCGCTCCAACAAGGACAAACTGCAGGAGTCGTCCTCGCTGGGCGGCAGTGCAATTAATGTCATACGCTCAAGTTCGAAATTAAAACCAGTCAAAGAGCGACGGGCCACCGCCCTGCCCTCCGAGGTGCCCAGCATTGAGGTGGAGGAGGTGCAGCAGGATCGGGATGGGCAGGAGGATCGGGAGGAGGAGGAGGAGCCGGCTGCTAATGCACATGCCATCGATGTCCTCGTTGGCGGCAAGTCAAAACTCAAAGTGAATGTGAATGGCATAATTGATGAGGGCGTTGCCGATGAGGATGTCGCCACAGCCACAGCCACACCCTCACCCACACCCTCGCCCACAACACCTGTGCCCCGTGAGGGTCCTGTAAAGTTTTTCATTGGTCACACGCAGGAACTAAGCGACCGGCAGACGGATGACACCTTGTCCTGGCAGAGCAGCGATGCCAATAACAACAACAGCAGTGGCAGTGGAAGTGGTAGTAGTAGTCCTGCCGCCATTAACGGCCAGCTGACAAATGGCGTCCTGCCGCAGGACCAAAAGGAGCCGCCCCGCGCCAAGAGCTCCGGCAGCCTGTCACTCAATTATCTGGCCAAGAGCCAGAGCCAAAACCAGCTCCAGATCCCGCCGCAGCCGGACAACCAGCGCCGCCGACGTGTGTCCACCATGCCCGATATTAACATACCGCCGGCACCGCCGCTGCCCCCGGAACTCCTCGTACCCGGAACGCCCCTCCACTTGAGGAAGAAGCGGAGCGTGGAGCGCTCGCAGGACCTCCTGCAGGATGCTTCGAACAGTCGGGTAAGTAATGAGGTGGCTGGCCGGATGACATGCCCGGCCAGGAATGGCCAGAACTCTGCGGCTTTTCAAACATTCACTTTAGTGAATGTGGGTGAGAGATGGAGATGGTAAAGGGAACTCCGTTTACAATCTATCTACTAGATGGTTAAAATAGTAGGAGCAAAGATGGTTAAGTTTTTCTAGTTCTATGGGCAAACTTCACATTCTTTCAGCCCCTCTTTGTATCCCTTCAATAATGTTTACTTGATCATTGCAGGAGAAAAACTTACTACGTGCTCTTTTCACTATTTTTGAGCTTAAAAATAAAACAACATGATAAAAGTGATATAAACGATAATGAATAAAATGTAAAAAGAAGTATTAATCAAATTTTTAATTATTTTAAAAGATATTTCGAGATATTTTAATACTTAATCACTGAAGCAGAAGATCTTCTTACGAACACTTTTCACTATTTTTGAGCATAAAAATAAAACAACATGATACAAGTAAAATAAACAATAATGAATAAAATGTAAAAATAAAGTATTCATTAAACATCGGGTTCATTTAAATAATATTATTAATTTTTTTGATGGTCTATGATGATTTCATTTTATGACTATGTATTTTATAAAATATACATGCTAATTTAAATGATATTTTGTGGTGTTATGATTTTCTTTCTATTACTATATTTTATTTTCAGTGTAATAAAATATTACAGGGACTGTATAACGAATAGTTTTTAGATCACAATATGTTTGCTTGAACAATTTAGATAATTATAACATTTAATAACAATATTTATTTCTATTTTTTATTTATTTTTCGTGTGGTTTTCTTTATAATGTCAATAACTAGTTAGAAACCTTTTTTTATCATTGGTTCTAATTTACAAATATTGTAAGAAACAGCACAAATATCAAATATTTTTTGATTAATTAATTAAAAATTTGAAAATTACCCACAACTTTCTCTGCTCCTTTATTTTATAAAAAATTACCTAAACATATTGCACACAATTTAATATAGTTTGTAATAAAGGGAAATTGTTTTGGGCAATATTTCCTCCACCATAGGTTATGACAGTTTTTGAGTGTTTTGTGGTTAGATGTATAAGTTTTTATTTTTTTTTCCATAATTGTTAGACTTTATGTCAAAACTTTGTAGTTCCTTTCTGCTGTACGTACTGAGTCTTGCCGAAAACAAGTAACTAGTTTCGCCTCATGTATGTTTATTCAGAAACCCAGAAACTTTTCTCCTCTGACAGGTTGTGTGTGTTTGACTGTCGGAAAGCTACACTCCATTTGCTATTTGATGCAACTTTTATGTGGGAGTCAACATTTAGCCCTCCATTGCCCGAAGGCAAAACTGGGGAAACTGAAACACCGAACAGCTGCCTGCAATTGAACCGTGCGCCCAGCACACTTGTAAAAACAAGTTAAATGTTAATTGTTCGCCAACAGACACGAACCGAAACTTTCCGCCAACCAAAAAAGGCACTTTCCCCTGCTGTTTTGGATGTGCTCCATTGGCAGCCTGTGGCTAATCGGTCCAATATAGCGAAATAATGCCGCTCAAGACAATATGGTGTTTTTCCTTAACGTTTAGTACCAAGTACTTATTTTGCCAGTTTCAGTAATATTTTTTTAGGTAACTTTTTTTTGGTAAATAGACCTTGACTTTGTAGAAACAAATTTCCAAGGGCTTATCAGAAACCATTAAGTAAAAATCGTATTTAAACGAAATACAATCTGAGCTCTTATCAACTGTATTAAGAGTATCTATTCCCTTTTTTTCCGCCCATTTCGCACGAAAACTACCAGGATGAAATAGCAAAACCGGAGGAGGGCGGCGAGACTCAGAAAACCAGCGATTCCCCAACTCCAAAGACCCATCGCGTGGAAGGTGGCCTCATCTATGTCCGTCCCAATTTCCCCATTCAGGGCGACATTGAAATCGAATTTATTGCAAAGGACGAAGCGTAAGTGAAACAACCAAGCTGAATTAGAGAAAAACAAACAATCCTAGGGTTATTACCGCCCCCCCCAACCAATGATATCCAACGAATCCGCCCCACAGCACACGCAATCTCATACGAACGGCCATTGAGCGCAATGATTTCCTCAATAATCTAATGGACAAGGAGCGCAAAGAGATGGTTATCAATGCAATGGCGCCGGCCAGCTACAAGAAGCACAGCCTCATCATCCACGAGCACGAGGAGGGCTCCGAGATATATGTGTCCGCCGAGGGGCAGTACGATGTCATCCGTGGGGGCCAGCTGGTGGCCAACTTCGGACCGGCCACCGTCTTTGGCGAACTGGCCATCCTCTACAACGCCCCTCGACAGGCCACCATACAGGGTAAGTTCCTTGCTTTGTATAGGGAGGAATATAGGTACACCGAAAAAAAATGCCTAAGGATCAATGTTATATTTGGAATCTGTTTTATCACTAAATAATATTATATGGTATTGAGAATAAATATACTTGATATTGAGAAATGGTATTCAATAATTTTAACTTAATATTGAGAGCTGATATTTCTTGAATAAATATACTTGATAATGAGAAATGGTATTCAATAATGTTAACTTAATATTAAGAACTGGTATTTCTTGGTGTACTTGATATTGTGAAATAGTATTCAATAATGTTAACTTAATATTGAGAACTGGTATTTCTTGCATAAATATACTTGATATTGAGAAATGGTATTCAGTAACGTTAACTTAATATTGAGAACTGGTATTTCTTGAAAATTCTCTTAAACCGAAAAAGAGATAAAAGAGAGAAAAATTACTCTGAGTAAGAGTGACACCAATATTTAAAACTCTCAGAAATAAACATAGAGAGCTAAGAACGAACTCATCACTGTGACACACCCCGTATCTAGATATAATTTATTCCGAATTTCTTAAAAATAATATCCCATGATATCTTATAATTGTTTTTCTCTGTGTTCTTGAAATATAACTCCGTTGGGATTTATCCTTTCTAGCTGCCACCGATGCACGCGTTTGGAAAATCACACGCGAAACCTTCCGGGCTATCATGCAAATCTCTGGCTCCAGGGAGCGCGAGGAGAACCTTCAGTTCCTGCGGTCGGCACCGTTTTTACAGGAATTCGACCAGAGTCTGCTGCTCAAAGTCGTAGATCTCCTGCAAAGGGTAATAAGTCAGCCCGGCTATCGATAGATGCCCCCAACTCAATTACTCCATTGTATTTCAGAAATTCTACGAGACCGACAGCTGTATAGTGCGCGAAGGCGAGGTGGGCAACGAGTTCTATATCATACGGTGCGGAACCGTGACCATAAAGAAGCGGGATGAGCAGCAGCAGGAGCAGATTGTGGCCAAGCGGAAGCGGGGGGACTACTTCGGGGAGCAGGCCCTATTGAACGCGGACGTTCGACAGGCCAGTGTTTATGCCGATGCTCCGGGCACCGAGGTCCTCATGCTGGACAGAGAGTGAGTACCAAATACAATCGATATTTGGCGGTATTAATTGTCATACTTGAAAAAATTGAAGTTAGAGGAATAAAAATGACTTATTATAAACAATAATACGCAAAGAAACTAACTAATATTATTGCATTTTAACAGCTTAAAACAAATATTTATGTCTACACCCAATTGAAAATAGCCCCAGAACTCTAGAAATTCGATTTCATAAAGTCCATGATTCTTTTAAATTTTTTCTAAAATAAGAATATACATTATACAAGTTTTCTAGTCCTAGATAAAATTAATGTTTAATATAGTAAGTTTACTATACATTTAATCCATATTATATCGAATTATACATATTCAAGTCGAATTCCGAAAACTCAGGGCAAATATTTAGATAACACATCTTAACCCAAACTTATAAACCCTTCATATAATAACCAAAAATAAGTAGATTTTCAAAATATCTTTAAGATAGTTATTAGAAATTATGATCCCTTTAATATTCATTTAAATTTTTGCAATATCTTACATCTGTTTTATAATATTTTTCATGATTAGAGCTTTCATAAGCTATTTGGGAACCATCAAACAGCTGCGCGAGAAGCCCAGCAGCCAGCGTAGCGATACGAGCGGTCGATCTAGTAACAAGTCCCTGGAATTCGACAACGAATACTCCCAGGTGGCCATATCGGAACTCAAGAAGATAGCCACTCTGGGCTGCGGAGCCTTTGGCCGCGTGGATCTGGTGGCTCTCGGCCAGCAGGCTTTGGCCTTGAAGATCATAAAGAAAATCGAGGTGGTCAAACAAGATCAAATAGAGCACGTTTACAACGAGAAGAACGTAATGATTAAGTGCCGCCATTCGCCCTTCATAGTACAGTGAGTCGTAACTCAGGCACTTATTTTCTCCCAATACTAAGTGTTATTTTATTTCAGACTCTACCGCACGTACCGCAATGACAAATACGTTTACTTCCTAATGGAGGCGTGCATGGGCGGTGATGTATGGACGGTGATGTCAAAGCGCCAGTATTTCGATGAGAAGACCGCTAAATTTATAGCGGGCTGTGTCGTCGAGGCCTTCGATTACTTGCACTCGCACAACTTTATTTACAGAGACTTGAAACCAGAGAACCTGATGCTGGGCACGGATGGCTACTGTAAATTGGTAAGGAGAATATAAAATAATAGTTCAAGAAATCTATATACGTTTGGAAACTCTTAAAAAAGCGATTAAAAGTAGACTATGTATTTGAGATTTTGAATTCCATTTCTAGTGTCATACTTATAGACACCTTTTATTAAAGTTTTAATATTTAATCTCTAAAGAATTTTTATATTACTTTAAAAAGTTTTTAAAAGTAGACTATATTTGATGTTTTACAATCCCACTATTTACTGCATACTTTTAGATACTCGTAGATAGATACTTTTTATAGGGTTATACAATTTTTTTTAATTTCTAAGAATTTGTTATATTACCTAAAAAAGCGTCTAAAAATGGGCTACTACATATTTGTCCTCTTAAGAAAGCGTTTAAAAGCTAGGTTCAATATATTTGTGGAGGAGGAAGTTATATTTTTACTGCATACCTTTAGACACCTCTCTAAGAATTGAAACCTTTAGTCTTATAAAATCTTTAAAAATTTTAAAACACTTAAAAGTATGCCTAAGTCTGGTAAAAATATATATTCTTATTTCCTGATTTCAAGTATAACATTAAAAAGTTTTAGAATTTAAAGCTCTTGAAATTTCTGTATAACTATAAAAATCCTTTGTCTTTTCCAGGTTGATTTTGGGTTTGCCAAGTTTGTGCGGCACAATGAGAAGACCAATACATTCGCCGGAACTCCCGAATATGTAGCCCCCGAGATTATTCTGGATCGTGGACACGATCGAGCCGTGGACTACTGGGCATTGGGAATTCTAGTGTACGAACTGCTAGTGGGTAAAACCCCCTTCAGGGGCGTTAATCAGATCAAGATCTATCAGCAAATCCTCAGTGGCATCGACGTTATCCACATGCCATCGCGAATACCCAAATCCGCCCAGCATTTGGTGCGGCATCTCTGCAAGCAACTTCCGGCTGAAAGACTGGGATACCAACGCAAGGGAATCGCCGATATCAAGCGGCACAGCTGGTTCGAAAGTCTGGATTGGCAGCGACTGAAACTCAAGCAATTGCCCTCCCCCATCAAGAGACCCCTGAAAAGTTGGACGGACCTGCAATATTTCGGGCCATCGGGTGTGGAAAACGACTACGAACCACCGGAGGAATTGAGCGGTTGGGATAAAGACTTTTAAAGCTGAGCAGTAAATTATGTACAATTTCGGATATTAGTTTAAAGATTTCTTTTGTAATTTTGGGTATTACCCGCGTAGCAGCCATAACAACCTCGTATTAATTACTAGCTTCGAAACTAAGTCCTATTAACCATTTGTTACATATTTTATTCTAATGCTAAGAGCTGTAGTTGTAAGATGTAAAGTACACTTTAAATTGACTAAATTAAACATGAACAATTATATCACCAATTTGTAAAAAGTCTTTGGTTGGAGAACCCATCACATATTCAAGTAAGTTCTTTGAGCACCATTCAATGGTAATGGCTTTGACCTTACAAATGACTCGTTTTCAACATTTCTTTTGAAGCATTCGACAACTTACTTGCTTTGAAAGTCAACATAGACTGCTTGGGCAGCTGGGCCCGAAGGTTTATTTGTACTCGCGGCATCAATTAGAACCGCAAGCTGGTTTTCTTTGGCTTTCACCGGCACACACCACAGGTAAGTAAACAAATTCAATTTAGCCATTCCATTCCACTCCCCTCTCTGCTTGCCAACTGCAATTCCACAAAGTTGCGAAATATAAGACCACTTTGTCTCCAGCAGGGAGATCCCTTAGTTGTACAACCTAACTTATTGTGACGCTCCCGTCTTGTTTGGCTACATACTAGCCTTTATCATCGCCATCAATATCAATGTAGTTCGCTTTGTCCTGTCTGTCCTGAATACATCATCATTTGTATGGGGGTTTCATCACCTACTATGGCCTTGTTGTTTTCCATATTACTATCAAAGTCTTAATGCAATTTTGAGACGCACAATCAAATTTACAACGCCATATTGCGTTTATTGAAACTACTAGCCATACAGTTTGTTGCACAGTTGTTTGTCTATGAAGTCGAATCTCTATAAAAGGAGTCTAAAAGTATGCCATAATATATTTGATGTGCATCAGCTCTAAGGATAATTGGCATAAAGCAACTGCCCCACACAGCATATTTTTAGGCACCTTCTCAAGAGAACTTAAAGATCTTTAAATTTCTTTACATTCAAACTTAGTTTAATCATTTCAAAACCGATCAAAATTTCAAAATAATATGTAAAATACATTGTGACTTAATCTCTTTAAAAAAAAAAATGGTCTAAAAGTATGCTACATATATTTGGTGTACAAAACTCCTAAAAATTAATATTCAAATATTTTTAAAGCATACTTTTAGGCTCTTATTGAAGAGGTTTCAAACCTCTAGCGATTTCTTTCACTTCACCGATTAAATCACTTAACTATGTAGAAAATTAGGCAAATTGAAAACTTCTATCCAGCACCATGGTTAATTTAAAACCCTATAGACCATGCCCAATCATTCGTAACACAGATACTTCTAAGAAGACAAATCAATTGAAATTCCGTTCAGTAAAGGGGGACGAAAACCCAATTTAATTTGAGCTACGAATAGGGAAAGTTGAAATAATCTGGGCGGCAAACGTGCATGGCGAACAACATGGTTAATCAATAATTTAGTATGCTGCGAAATGGTCAATGGATGAAAGAAAGTTCGGCGGCATAGAATGGGCCCTTTTTTACCGTCGTAGACATTCGCACTCATTTAGCAATTTTACGCTTCGTTTAAGAACCGTAAGAGGGATTGCCTGGGACCAGAAAAGAGTTCTTTGATTCCCGGGAATTCTGTATATTTTTTTTTCGTTTTCGTTTTCTGCGGGCCCAAAGTTTGTGGGGAAATAAAAAGGCATTTGCATGGCTTTCTTAGTTAACCTTTTTCCACCAGTCGACAGTCGTCAGCGCCATCATTTCGCTGGGTAAACTAAACGACGGCGGTTTTCCTGAAACCCCCTTCAGCACACCTCTTCTCAATTTTCCTACGCTTTTCCGTTGCCAGTTGAGCGCGCACAGTTTTCCCAACGGAAATGATGACATTTCGTCTAACTTTGTCGCCGCGGTGTGCAGTCGCATAGAAATTCTGGAGGTGTCGAAGAAATGCCACATTCCGTACTGTGGGACAGTTGCGAAATGAAAATTTTCACTTTTTTTCCAAGGCGGTAGCGGAAATTGTTGAAATGTTCCCCAGTTCCTGTTGGCTGCGGCCAAAATTGAAATTGTGACCAAATGTTTTTCGCCAACGCTTTTTATTGATTTCCCCCACATACACTTACGAGTATTTTATTCCATTTCGCCCCGGCGGAAGGAAGGTAACAAAATGTTATTATCAATTATCATTTATTATTGCGGGGCATTTTTTCGCTTCGACGATTATATTTTCCTTTCCTTTGTGGCCATTTCCTTGGTAAGGTTTTTGTTTTTCGTGTGTCTTACTTGTTTCAGAAGTCATAACGACCTGATCGATGGTGATTTTCGTGGGTTATTTTTGGGGATATTGGCTAGCATATTGTACATATCCGCTGATTGTGGCTTGAATTGTCTTTTGTTTTCAGCGCCAGACAGTCGAGCTTAAATCTGTTTTGACTAGCCAAATGGATATTTGTTTAAAGCCATTTCATGGCGAGTTCCATTCCAAGAAACTTTTACCATTCCACAGAATTACTGAACCCGTTGGTACCGAAAATAAATAAACATAGACATGTTCTGCTCATATTGTTTAATGCTGTTTTATCAACTTTGCTTTTTTATACACACGTTCAACAAGGGTTTTCGCAAACTCAAGTTTGTGTATATAAGGCGAAATGAGGTTTGAGAATCTAATATATGCATGGCAATACAAGTCGACAGCTGCTGAGCAAATTTATATTGCCCGTATTTATGAAAGTCTTTTGCAAACCTTCCATACAAATGCAAATTCTACGGCTGCCTTTTCAAGGCGGGGCTTTAAACTAAAATTAGACCCTAATCAATGTAACTATTGTTTACTTTATACACAACATCTGGCGAAAGGGACAGTATTGTGTCTAGCTGCAGGCACTGAATATCTTGGATATTTTTACTCGATTTTCCCATTTGGAGATTGAAAGTTTTGTTTGTCCAATTTAAAAGGGGATATCTGAAAAGCTGACAAAGTTTGTCAAATCGGATTTGATAGTCTGTTCACACACATTGCATCATTCCAAAAATGATGTGGGGCGTTTACACTACATATGCAGTATCATTACGTAAGAGTTTCTTCGTCGTTCTAGAAAATTAACATTTAAAATAAGTTTGTCAAGGAATACAAAATGACTTAGAAATCTTGTTCTTCCATTCACAGGGTTCCTATCAAAAAAATTCTAACCATGTTGCGGCCCTGTCTAAACACACTATAAGAGTAGGACAGTAGTTTTCCAAGGTCATCGCAGACTATAAATCACTGCTTGGTTTTTGACACGACACTCATCATTAGGGCCATCCTTTCGCAGAGAACAAAAGAAATCAGCACTACCATTTCACCATATAAACCATCCATTTCCCCAAATGAACCGAGTCGTTGACCATTTTCCGTTCACAAACAAGGACAAACGTCGCACTTACTAGTGATCACCCAGGGTGCAATTAGGATTTGAGTGTTCAATAACGATTTACACAAAGGCTGGCCAATATGGTTGGTACTCTTCTCCTGAAACTCCTGGTCTCCAAGGGAACTAAGGGGTCTGGTAAGTGCGACACGGGCAAATAAGCTTTAAAATGTTACCATTCGTATGGCAATGTGGGCAAAAGTTCTCCAGCACGTATGTATGGACTCGGCAACAAGAGTAGCAATTATAAGGGGGCAGGAGGTCACATCTACCACCCGGATCCAATCCAATCTAATCAGCTTCGGTCGAGAAAAGAATCTGTTTACAATATTGACAATTTTGTTTTGGGTGCCAGAGACCTAAAACTAGAGGTTGAATCAGAAAGTTTCTTTTTATGCTGGGTAAAAAGTTAAATTTGCATATATTTTTTTTTGTGCGAGGCACTTGTCCCTTTTTCCTGAGATGCCTCTTGCTGTTGGCCAATTTGTGGCCGAAGTGGAGCTGCCTGCAGAGTTAGGAGGTCCTGCCACATAAACACTTCTGTGCTGAATGCCATGAATAAATAATGAGCTTTGTCTTCCATCGCCATCGTGAAGTGATGGTCCCAGCGTTGCATACTTTTAGGGCAATAGGCTCATGCAATATTTGTGTGCCATTTAAGGAGCTTCCGTGCATTACATCCTGGAATCCTTGAGGATTGCACTTGCTGAAGAACAGACTATTAAATAGCAATAAATCACTAAACAGTTCGAAGTTGGTGCCTTGAAAAATATCACCAAAAATATCTAAGGACAAACATATGTTTACATTTGTTCAAGACAAAATCACATTACCGCGTGCTCTTGCTGGAATCAAATTATGTTATTTTCCTGAGCAGCCCGAAAGTATGCAAATATTTGCTAAGCCCAAACATTTGATGCGCCGACCTCTTGCCACTCGACATACGGAATGCGGCATATACTCGTAGAAGTCGGAGGGAAAGTAAAGCTACAGCAACAATGAGGTAGCCAGGCAAAAAGGTCGTTAGATTGTTAACAAGTTCATAAAAAGACGACACACACACACACAAACACACAATTATAGGTGAAATGATGGGGGGGGGGGGGTTGGAGGTTGGGGGTTCACAGGACGAGGACTCCAGCAAGGACTGCCTAAATACTATACGACGCGTCTCGTTGCGTATTTACAGAGCACTTTTTCCGTTTCTACTGCTGCTGCCTCTCAACAAGCAGCAGCAACAAAAATGCAAACAAATGCACACTGAGAGAAAAATAAAATAAAAATAATAAAATTCCAATAAGGAGCCTATTACGTACAATACGGAAACATGTATAAAACTCCAAGTAGATATACCATTAAGCTTGTATTTTAATTATAATTAATCTCTAACTATAATAAATTCTTTGTTTGTCTAGATACTTATAAAGTTTACAGTCTTATTATTTACTTATCTTATGCCATTGGTAAAAAATCCTATAGTCTAGTCTTGACGATCATAAAAAATACCTAGAAATTGATATATTTTTTTTTTATATTTGAAGACATTTATAAATTAAAAATTTATTGAGTGTTTTAATTCTTAATTTATTATAATCCCTTGTTTGTCTTGAAACCATTGATTTTTTTTAGTCTGTAAATTTTCTTCCTCCATTAACAAGAAACTGGAGTTATTACGACCTTATCATAATTCCTCAGAAAAGTAGAACTCCGAACCTAAGAACTAAACTACTTACTACTTAATTGGAGAGAAGGTTCATAGTCTTTAAAAGTGAATTTACACATATGGT